ATCACTTCAATCCTAACGATAAAATGGCTAAACATATTCGAAATTGCAAATTTTGATGTAATTACAAATAATTCTTTACAAAGATAGTCTTACCTCATGGAAACGTTTCCAGGATGTTTCATCATGTATTTCAAAGAAGAAACAAAATTTTTCGGGCATTCGTTACGATCATTCTTCATACAAATATCTCGGTAACTGTAGAATTTCTTATTCCAAAAGATGCTGATGTTGCGAATGATAACATCCATCTGGATTACATCTTCTATCGAAGAGGTGTTCATAATGGAACCGTTGTTCTTCGCCGAGGCAATGACCGCAATAAAATTTTCGTATGTGGAACTTCTAATTAATCTATCTTCGGCCTCGTCGCCGTTAGAAAACAGATTCTGGATGGATTTTCTATCTTCCAAAACTCTCGCGTTTCTCGGACTGTACAGATATTCGAAATCCTGTATCATGGAAATTTTGAGAAGTCCGGATCCTAAAATCACTGTAACTAATAAGGTGGCAGCGATGCAATGTTGAGGATATTCACCGACAAATTTGCCGATTCGAGAAAACCAAGAAGATAAATAAGAGTCTAAAGTCTTCTTCATTCTTTTTCTAAAGAAATAATAACAAAAGTTAGTATATTAGTTATTTAATGTTTATCACATTATTCGGTAAATTAATTAAAATAGAATATGCGAAACACTACAAATAGAAAAATACGTCATTACGACCGGTTTTTAAAAAAATACTTTCTGGAAATTTTCTGTTATTTCATTTTAATTAATTCATTTTTAACTCTTGGTATAAATAAACGTGTTCGTTTATATTTAACCTTGGGAAATTTTATTCTAAAATTAATGGTTACTTCTCAAGCATTATTAATTTCGAAATAAGCAGTAGAGATGAATGTAAGTGAAAAAATTCAATTTGTTTTCTGTATTCTTAAATTTTTTCGAAAGTTCACATCTTTATAGTAATAATTGCTCTTATTATATTCGCTTATCCTGTCGTATTTTCAAGAAAATTGTCATTTGAACGTTTAAACAAAATCATTGAATTAAAATCAAGGTATTTTTCATACTTGAAATCTGTTGCAGGAAGAAAAAAAGATGAAAACTCTAACATATTTCTATTAAAAAGTTTGAAACTTTTATCGGAAGAACAGTAAAGTGAACTTCTATATAACTGCTTTTATTTCGCTGTTTTAACGTAATATAGGACAAACAATCTAACTAAATATGTATAATACATATAGTTTTCTGATATTTTCCCTTTCCACCCATTGTATTTCATTTAAGACATTTGATACTTGTCTTATTATTTTATATGGGCGAGACATCGAAAGTTTTAATATTTTTCGCGTGATTACATTTTTATTGTCAACAGGTTTAACCTTATCTTCTGGTGTTTTATTTAATCGAAATATCTCTTGTTCACTTCGTGCTTCCATTACTTTCGTAAGTCAATTTTCTAGAGTCTTCTGCAGGAGGGAGAGCATTCGGTATGATTTGGGGAAAAGGTGACAAGCCCAACATGAGATATTTTGGTGAAAAACTCGTTACTAAGTGAGGAGAGTTGTTATATTCTTCCGTTGCTGTTTTTAGTAATTTACTCCAACAACTGATCCTTTTGCTTTCGTCCATTTTGCATCGCAACCGGGTCACGATAGTTTGATTAATTCTTTCGCATAAGCCATTACGACTCCCTTTATCTATCTCTTTATCACCTTGAACTTTAACCATTAAAATTTAACAGCATTAATCGCCTAATAAGCAATCTACTTCGCAAAATTGCAGACATTTTCGACAAAAAGCACAGAAGTTATAAGAAAATAAATACTGTATATGAGTTTATTAAGTTAAGGATATATAATACACAATGAAAGGTTAAGGATATATAATACACAATGAAAAAGAGAAAGGCATAGTAGAAGAATTTAAAATAAATTTTGAAGATGAAAATGTATTAAATTTTGACGAAAGATAAAAGAAATTCCTGGAAAAACAGGATTATTAGAAGATAATAAATTTGAATAACGTTATAAGAAAATAATGAATTTGGCATAAAAACTTTTACCTGCAAAGTTTTATGACGATTGCAAACAAGGTTTTCTGTGTTTTAAGTTCGAATACGAAATGACACAAAACATAACCTCGTAAAATAAATGATTATAAAACAATACGTCATTACGACCGGTTTTACTAATACTTTCGAAAGATTTTCTTTATTATTTTCAATCAATTATTTCTTTTTAATTCTTGGAAAATATAAGTTTGCTAGAGGAAATTTTAACTAAAAATTAATAATTCGTCCTTTCGAAATAAGCAGTAGAGTGGCGAGTGTAAGTGAAATAAAATGAAACAGTCTTTTTTCTATATTAGAAATTTCCTCGAAAATATACATATAATAATTGAACTTTCTGTATATTTTTTTATAATACGTGTATGGGATTTAAAAACAAACCCTAAAAATTATCATTTGAACGTTTAAAAAATCATTGAATTAAAATAAACTCGAGGTATTTTTCCTACTTGTAATTTTTAATTTCATCAATCAAGTGTATCGGAATCTTTTACGTAAGAAACTTGTAAAATAATTATAATACAGTAGACAATAGAATGCATTAATTATTATTGCTTTCCTAGTATTCGTGATAACCATTCTTTTATTAACCTATATTAACTCCCTGGGTACCTACCAATTTTTAATTTTAATGTAATTAAACATAAAAAATACTTAAAACTGAAAAAAACGAAAGAAATGCGTTAATTTTGAAGAGAAAGCTTCAAAGTTCAGTAGCGTGCAGTGACATTTGATGATAGGGAAGCTGTGTTTCTATAAGAAGCCGACTTCCAGGGGCGATCAGTTAATTCTTTCTTTAAATGTATTTTTAATAGATTATTTATCCGACGTACTTAATAAACGAGTTTAATATAATTACCTCTGTTATTAATATATTCCATACGCCCTCTAAATGCCAATTCTCGCTTCGATAGAAACATATAACATCTATTTATTTAGATATAATATATCTATTAACCGTAACTACTGTATCTCGTTATAATTTTCAATATTTATTTTATATTATTTTCTAACGTTAAATTCTATTCCGCTTCTATTTCCAAATCGTTTCAAATACGAAAGAATCGACGATTTTTCGTGTCTTTTGCCAGCTAAATCGTCAAAGCCATTCTTATTCCACGCACTAATTTCATTCGAAAATAGTAGGCGAGCCAGCAAAACAATTTTTGCATTTTTACGCATTTACGGAGCCATTTTATCGCGAAAATGTCGAACAAATTTTTTTATCGAAACGTTTATATTTAACTTAGGCATTGGCCTTTCTCTTTTAATAATGTTTTCTTTGTCATTATACGATCTCGAGACAAACTTTTTAAAAATACATTTTCAATATCGCAATTACATTCCGAGTCGCTAGCCACGATATAAGGGCTAAAATTAAAAATAAAATTATAAAAACTTACTCGGTGAAATAAAATATGCGGTGGACATACATACCAGGTACAAAATATTCTTCGATTGTACGAATATATATACCGCGTACACGCACGCGGTCTGCCGAATCCCGAGGGTGCCCATACCAGTTAACGTCAAATGCCTCTTTTGTCGTATCTTTAGTATATCTCAAAGGAAAGACAGGGTTGTTGTAAATTTTAAACGTTACTTACCATCGCTGTAAAAGTCTAAATACGTTAAACTTAATAGATCGTCCGTCGTTTGTTTTCTAACTAATTCGTTTTAGGACCGGGTATCCTGAGAAATTTCCAAAATTTACAACTTTTCGGTAACTCTCGTCGAAGTGGAAAAATGTCTGTCTTTATTATATCTAATATTTCGAAGAAAGCAGTCTCCACCGTACTCGGCTAGAGATTGGTTCGGTTAAGCTTTTGTTTAAGTAAAATTTCGGCTCTTTCGTCAGGGTTTTGTTTACGTCACCAATTCCCTAATCTCTTAACTATTTAACTACGTCTTAAGTAGAAATAGGTCTAAACCGGTTACTTTGTACTCGAATATTTGTAGTCTCGGGAAAAAGTGGAAAGACAGATTTTTACGACAAACGGATACATAAATCGTAAATTTAAGGAAAATAAATTCTAGAGCTTATTCTGTACCTGGTGCATCTATCTCATTCATTAAATTTAGTCATAAATAACGCTGTCGAAGTAACGGTTAATTTTTTAACATTATACAAGAATTGTACACGTTTTTTTTTCTACATCCCCTTAATTTAATTTATACTTTATGAAACAGGTGTTTTGGTTTAAGTGTTGTTTTAGAGAGGAAAGAGAAGTTGTTAAACAATTATAATTATGGATTTTATTGATTTCAGTTAAAAGTAAATATAGGAAATACCCCAAATGTATTGGTATGGAAACAATCAAATACAGTAGATAAATTTAAAACTTAATATGTTTATCTGGTACAAAGTGAATTGATTCTAACATCTTAGGCGAGAACATCTTAACGGGTTTTACTGTACTATTATAAAATGGAAAAAAAGCTTACTTTAAGTGTAGTGACCAGTTTTATTTTAAAGTTTGAACGCTAATAACGAGTAAAATATTCATTAAGAGACATGACTCCTTTTATGTCTTCACCCTGTCGACCTTTAATTAAGAACCAAAAATTAATAGTATTAATGCTCCTTTATACGCAAGCTACAGTGCCACATTTCGTTTCTTAAACTTTACTCATTCTGAGATAGTTTAATATCTCAGAACAGAAAATAAAGAAATTAAACAAATTAGACGCCAACACACACTCGAGCGAATTTTTCCCTTTACTGACTTTTTTGAGGGGTTCGGGAGGTCTCCAAACGTGTAGATTTGCAAAAAAAAAAAAAAAAAAAAAAACTTGGAGGGTCAAATTTGACAGGTTCCAGTACTTTTCCGTTTTATATACATAAGTTGGTAAGTAAAAAGGAGTCGGAGTCGGCGGATATTTTGACGACTCCGACTCCTGCTAAAACACCAAAACTTCACGACTCCGACTTTGACTCTACAGCCCTGCTTTCTATTTAAATGATTATTGAGTATTTTGTCTAAACTTGAAGTAGGAAGACGATTAAGTGAAATAAACTAAATAAACAATAAATTTTTTCATAAAATATAGTTTTATAAACGAACCAGTATATCTAGTGTACCAGAGCCCCTTCAGCCGCCATTCAAAATTCATCGAGTGGTGTTTCCACTTCCCGGGACGAGAACCCAGGGATTGGATTTTGGGAAGCGGTGTTTGTGTTATGTGACGGGTTGTTTACGGCTGTGACGCATGATACGTAAATGAATGGATGCGATGAACACGTTAGACAATGGTTCAGTTTTGAATGTTATCATGAGGGATGTTTGTAAGGAAGTGTTGTAATAAATATACCACGTATACATATATAAAAATAACATAAAATCTACAATTAATGAAATACGCGTTACCAATGCATAAATTAAATAATACACACTTACCTGATGTATGCTGTAAACAAGATGGTGAAAACTCTTGGGCGAAGTCCAATAATTTCAATTGTTGAACTGATGCAGAAGGACATAAAATTTGTGACATTTTACTGCTATGTCTCAACTATTCTTGTACCAATTAATGTATATGTATCAATTCGCCATGGACTTGTAATATCAACTGTGTATTTATATCAATTAGCCATGGACTTGTAATATCAATCGTGTATATGTACCAATGTGTCATGGACTTGCCCCGGGTCCAATCGTGTATTTGTACCAATGTGTCATGGACTTGCCCCGGGTCCAACGGTATAAAGACATGCTCCCGGGCACAAGAAGTTTCTTACGAAATATAGCAACGACGAATGAAAAGTAATCGTAATCGAGTATTAAGAAACGAATCGTGTATCTGATCCAATTTGTCTCGGACATGTAATATCAATCGTGTATTTGTACCAATGTGTCATGGACTTGCCCCCGGGTCACACGCAATAAAGGCGTGCTCCCGGGCACAAGAATTACTATACTTACTATACTGTACTAATTATCGTATTATGTATCTTGTTGTTTCAAGTCTGCATCTTCTTTTCTTCATGTTGTTTTGATTGCTTTTTGTCTTACATCTATGTCAATCTTTTATTAGACAGGTCGGACATGTTTCCGTTGAACTGAAGAACCTGTAATTATCTTTTATTTAAAATTCGAACTATAAGTGATGAATTTCAGTTACTTAATCAAATATAATTACGATCGTAGAAGTCACACAGGATTATTAATGTTTTAAATGCGAGATAAATGTATAACTTTTACAATACTTGAAATTATCTTCTTTCTTGTCACAAGTATTGTTTCTTCAATAATAAATGTCGAGAGAATTGTTTGAACTATTGTTTAATTCTTGAATTGTTTACGTCAAACTTTTAGCGATATATGAATATTAGTTTTTTTGTTATAAAATAACTTGAATTACATAAGCCATTTAAATAGTTCGGTGTTAAGCTGAGTATCGGTATTTTTTGTTTTGTTATTCGCAATTTTGTTACAATGAGAATACATTTTTTTTTTTAACTTGTAGAGTTCTGGTACTTTTTCTCAGCAGTAATTTCGCAGTTATGGAAGTATTTTAAATTATTTGGGATCACCAGGTATTAGTTATTGATGAATTTGTAAAATTATTTTAAATTCTTTCTTAAAGTATGTAAACAGCTGAACTAACTTGAATATCTTTGAAAATAAATATAATTTTAATATTAGAATTCGGTGTTAAGCTGACCTTACGATATCATCACGACGCGACTGAGTGTTCATTGCAAGTTCGGCAGTGTAATGTATACGGTACAATACGTTAATTAAATAGTTTATCCAAGCTTCACGCTTCTTTGAAGCGCTCGCTTGCACGACGAATCTACTTGAATTCCGCGTGTCATGGAGTGGAGTGAAAGAAGAGCAGCGGCGTGTCGTCCTTGGAAGCGCCGTTTCCCTCGTATTTTCTTAATATAAATACATATTGCGCGATTATTTTCATATTTTAACGTACTTTAAATTAATTAAAATTAATATTTTATTATCACCGCAATATGTATTTTATTATAAATTTCTATACTACATGAGAAAAAAACGATAAAATTGCAGTTGTATATTCGAATATCGGTGACGGAATGGAAGCGCTGCATTGTCGAATACGGGACAGCTTCCTCAGCAAAAATATTTGAACGGTGTAAAGCAGTCCGATTATAAGCATACTACCAACTTCACGTGGTTTAGCTGGTAAATGCTACACACCAAAATATGGTATAAAGCTTCCGATGATTCTATCCAAGACCGGTTAAAGGCTGTTAGCCGCCCGCCCGCTAGATATCTGGCTGCCCTCGCCCCATTATGTGAATCGCGAGTAGATTTATAACTTAATTCAACAGATAGGAGTTTACTAGTATGTTTTTATGATAGTTCTGTATAGTTGACAGGAGTTTTAAAAAAGTCCATTAAAATATTTGTTGTATATATTCTGCTTTTATTTTGCTCTCCCATCTTATATTACTTACAGACTTCAATGTTAAACCAGTGATGTTGCGATTTCGTACGTCCCATTGTATTTCTAAAAATTTCTGAAAAATTTGTCTTTCTACTTTTTTCTCGAGACTAAAAATATTCGAGTACAAAGTAACCGGTTTAGACTTATTTCTACTTAAGAAGTAGTTAAATAATTAAGAGATTAGGGAATTTGGGATATAAATAAAACCCTGTTATAAGAGCCGAAATTTTACTTAAAAGGTTAACCAAACCAATCTCTAGCCGAGTACAGTGGAACTGATTTCTTCGTAATATTAGACGTAATAAAGACAGAAATTTTTCCAGTTCAACGAGAGTGACCGAAAAGTTGTAAATTTTAGAAATTTCTGTGGACGACACCTGGTCCTAAAACGAATTAGTTAGAAAACAAATGACTATTAAGTTTAGCATATTTAGATTTTTACATTATTTTTATTTTACATTATTGAGATTACATCAGATTTTTACATTAGATTTTTATGTCGAGAAACGTTTAAAATGTACAATAACCCTGTCGCGTCCTTTCAGATATACTAGTGATGCGACAAAAGAGGCATTTGACATTAACCGGTATGGGCACTCTGGTTAATTAGATAGTTACGGTTAATAGATATATTTAAATTAATAGATGTTATATGTTTTTATCAAAGCGAGAATCGGCATTTAGAGGGCATGGGGAATCTATTGAATCTAATAATAGAGTTAATTATATTGAACTTTATTAATAACTATTTATTAATTATGTCAGATAAATAATATATTAAAAATACATTTAAAGAATTAACTGATCGCCCCTGAAAGTCGGCTTCTTACAGAAAGACAGCTTTCCTATCATCAAATGTCACGGCAGGCCACTGAAGTGAAATATCGTATTTACTCGCATATAAGACGAGATTTTATTTATTTATCACGACTTCAAATTTTTAGATCGTCCTATAGGTGCGTGCGAAAGATTCTTTGCGTTTTTGCAAATACATTTTGCGAAGCGTACATTCGCATGTTTTACCGGATACTTACCCTCTTGTATTTAAAAATCTGGGTCGTTTAAATTAATTAAATCGTTCTTGTGTATTGTCGGGAGTAAAGACGAATAGCGATAGGAAAAGCAAAGCTTTTAAATTGAATTCCAGATTGAAATTCCAAAATTACACGAGAGCACGATATAACTTTTAAAACATTCTTACGTTAAAACATATGATTATTCGAAAATCAGAATTCGGAGAAACTCATAAGTGTAATCGACTTTTAAGAATTGGCAAAAAAAAAATTTCCGATTGTCTAGCTTTAAATCAGTGTTTTTCAACCTTCTTGAATACGCGATCCCTTTACAAGTTAAAAAATTCTGAAGACTTCCCACGGCCATATTAAAACTATGTCAGTGATTTTAAAAACTACGTATTTAATTTTCTTTCTGTTGAGATTGAAATATCGATCAAAAAATTATTGTAATGTAATAATTGTAATGTAAAATAAACAGGCACAGCCTTCTCACTAAAACTGTAGTTTTTTTTTATTGTAGTGTAGGATCTACAAACACTTGTCTTTTTCTTTTACCCGCGACCCCCCGTGTATGGCTTTGCGACCCACCTGGGGGTCGTGACCCACAGGTTGAAAAACACTGCTTTACATGAACAAATTATGCTGTCAATTTTACATGATTTTTTCTTAAAGTTTAAAATGCCAGTTATTTTTGAGGGACAATGCGGAGAAAAATTCTAGGACCGAATGACGTCCCACGCAAATTGTAGAACCCTGTGAGAGCATAAAAGTCAAAAGAACCATACCGCTATATGTGACCTTTCGCGAGATATAGTCCTCCAAAGAATCGCTAGGTCATTTCCGGTTACGTGACTCCGCGCCCAAAAGAGACGGCGTCACGCGACCGAATTTTTTTTCTCATTTTCCAACGCTCAGTGTGTAAACAAAGCGCGCGCTTCCCTTTCTTATTCCCCAACGCGCGTCTCCCCTTCCTGTTCATGCTGCCGCGGCCCAAGGTCTTAGATAATCTAAGACCTTGGCCGCGGCCGCCGCCGTCTCCTCCTCGCACGCAGCCAAGCCTCCCTCCTTCAGTCGCCCGGAGTCGCCATCTGTTGCCTGTAAATACAAATATCTATTATTATTACACCTCTTTCCGAGCCTCGAACTCCAATTCTCTTCGTACTGGCCCGTTAGGTCGCTCTGCCAGAACCACTTCGGAACTCATTTTAATTAAATTTCTTATGACTGCTGTTATATATATATCGTAAAGTCTTTGCAAATCCGCACTTAAAATGTAAATTTTAATATTGGCGGTAGACTATCACTCAGCTTTAGCCAATGATTTCACTTTATTCTATTACTATAGATGCATTTCGGTCCTTTTCTAAAAAAGGTCCCTCTTCAGTACTATAAAATACAAAAGTTTACATAAACTTTTTTTGCAAGTAAATATTTAACATAACAATAAATATTTTAGTATTACAATACCATTTGAGTACACAGTTTTATTTATACATCCCTTCAGCACTTTCATCTTGAGTGCACTAAATTATTTTTATTTATGTCTTGCTGTAACAAATTTTACACTATATTAGATCTAACAATTATACTTAATAAAACTTTTAAAATCTACAAAAATTTCAAAAAATTTTTTTTAAATAAGTTCTAAAAAAGGTACAGTTGTAGAACATGATTAACGTTATAAAAAATAATTCTAAAAAACTTACTGTGTGTATTTTTCTATGTTATGATAGTCCTTGAACTGTCTTTTTCATTAATTGTACACAATAAAAACACACAACTGGTAACTATCCAACAGACCGTTGCACACTATAAACCACTTTGATAGCAATAGTTCACAAATACATTGTTGGAGTAATTCTAAGTGACCCGTTCCTTCTATTTCATGACGTCATTCATTAATTTCTTTTATTACGGAATACCATTTTTGATCAATTTGCATACCACTAGATACATTTATTAATTGATTATTGTTTTTTCTATTATATTTTATAATTTCAACGTGTTCTTTAAATTTTCTCTTGTATATATCTCTTTCATTATGTAATATCTGTACACTATTAATATCTAACTTACAATTATTGTTTTGTATTACATGGTTATACCATGGAGAGTTACTATTTTTTAATCGAATGGCGGCTTCATGCTCTTTAATGCGTTTTTCCAATTTACGGCCTGTTTCGCCGATATAAGTTTCCGATTTATTACATTTACAATTTATTTTGTATATAGTTCCTATTTTGTCTTTTTTATCAATTTTATCTAAATTAGTTTTCATTTTAATATTGTGGAAAAGTTTATTTGTCAAGGACGGGGCCAAAACAACGTTTTCATTTTTTAAATTCTTAACACAATCATTATAAATATTGTCTACATAAGGAAACTTACTGTAATGTTGTTTTTTATTTTGTTTAGTATTAAATTTATTTTTCTCCCAATTATTGTACCATTTTTTTAATATATAGTTGGGGTAATTATTAAGGGCGAATTTCTGATTAAGTTTATTAATTGCAATTCTTTGGTCGTTGTTATCAGTAACTCTACTGTATATTTTCCTTATTTCCATTATATAGACGTTCTTTTTTATATTAACTGGGGTACTCGAATAATAATTTATAGTTTTTTCAATGTTAGGTAATTTTTTATATGTTGTAAATAAATATTTTTCTTTTCCTTTTATTATTGTAATGTCTAAGTAATTAATTCTTTTATTTTTCTTTAGTTCCATTTCAAATAGAATAAAGTGAAATCTTTTTATCAAAATTTTAATAGAATAAAGTGAAATCATTGGCTAAAGCTGAGTGATAGTCTACCGCCAATATT